ATATATATATATATATATATATATATATATATATACAAATAATCCATTACATTATTATAAATCTATACACTCTATATATAAAGTAATATGTCTTTATAGTATCTCCTATCACATTTTATTATTACAATTCAAAATTATGGTAATTATATCCATTGATAAAACAAGTCCCAAATCTTATAAAATTGTTCATCTTCTTGTTCTCTAATTTCAAATGTCAATTTACTCATTTCAGCACATTCCATTGTTTTTCGAATAACTTCCTCCTGCGTTGGTATTTTCTCATTTTTCCAATTTTTTGCAAATACAATTCTGGCTGTCGTTAAGATATTTACGATCAAATATTTCAAGTCTTTATTGTATGTATCTGGTATAATACCCAATAAAAGAGTCTCTGGTTTAAAGTCTATGCATTTCTGTGTCATTTTTTCCAACCACATGTGGATTTTAGTCCAATACCTTTTAGCTTCTGTGCAAGTCCACCACATATGGTAGTATGATCCCGGTGTCTGATGACATTTCCGATTTGTTTTTGGACGTTCTTGTTATTCTCGTTGGGGGTAAGTGCCACCTGTAAAACATCTTATACAAATTTTCCTTATAAGCTGTTGACATTGTCATTTTATTATTTTGGGACCACAATTTCTCCCATTTCTCTAATTCAGTCCCATGTCCAAAATTCCCCCCCCCCCAGGCTATCATAGGTTCTTTAACTTGTTCTTCTTTCAACTTAACCTCTAGTAAATGTTCATATAGTTTTTTAATTACTTTTTCATCAGTACCTGTCAAGATTTTATCTAACTCAGTTTTTTTAATCATAAAAACCTTCCATTTTACAGTCTTTGTCATATCTAGATTGTATTTGCACATATGAAAACCAATTCATTTCAATTCCTTCCTGTTTCAGCTCTTGCAAAGATTTGAGTTTACCCTATGCATTCAAAATTTTACCATATCTAACTGTTTGTTCCTTTTTGTATATTATTTGATATGAAAAAACTTCAATAGTTGATAGCCAGACTGGTATTTTTAAGTAATATTGCTTTTTAATCTTCTCCCAATTCAATAACAAAGCCTCCCTTAAGTAATGTCTTTTAAAATAACCCTGTGTTTTAGTACCTTTATACCATAAAAAAGCATGCCATCCCAGCAATATGTCATGAACTTCTAAAGTCAATAGTCTGGAATTCTTTAGTGTTATCCACTCCTTAACCCACATCAAGCTAGTTGCCCGGTAATATAATTCCCAATTGGGTAGGCACATTCCTCCTCTTGTTCTAGCATCTTGTAACGACTTTTATTTTATTCTTGCTTTTTTCCCCTGCCAAATGAACTTCAATACTATTTTATTTAATTTATCAAAATAATTTTTCCCTAGTCTAATTGGGATTGTCTGGAACAGATATAAAATTCTAGATAAAATGTTCATTTTGATTGTAGAAATTCTCCCTATCATTGATAATTGTAAATTTTCTCATTTCATTAAATCAGACACAATCTGTTGCTTAAGTTTATAATAATTGTTCTCTTTAAGAGTGCTACATCTTGCAGTTAAGTATATCCCTAAATATTTAACCTTGTTTGTAACTTGGATCTGCAATGCTTTGCCAATTCTTCCTTTTGTCTCAATTTTCTTTGTCAACATTTTCGTTTTGTCTTTATTTATTTTCAAACCAGCTACACTCACATATTCCTCTATTCTCTCAATCAGTTTAGGTGCCGTTTCATGTGGATCCTCGAGAATAAAAACCAAGTAATCTCCAAATGCTTGTAGTTTATATTCTTCTTTTTTGATTTTCATTCTTTTTATTTCTTTTTCTTCTCTGATTTTTCTATTTAATACTTCTAATGTTAAGGCAAAAAGTAAAGGTGATAATGGGCAATCTTGTCTTGTATCTTTCTTTATTTCAATTGAATCCGTCAATTCTCCATTTATCATTATCTTTGCTATTTGTTTATGGTATATGGTTTGAATGGCTTGTGTAAATTTCTTGCCAAAATTCATCTGTTCCAATTGTAAGAACATAAATCACCAAGTCACGTTGTCAAATGCTTTCTGGGCATCTAAGAAGATCAAAGCCATTTGTTTTTCAGGGTGTGCCTCATAATACTCCAATGTATTCAAAATTATTCTCATATTATCTTTAATTTGTCTTTTTGGTAAAAACCCATTTTGATCGGGATGAATAAACCCATTTAAAATATTTTTAAGTCTTTCTGCTAGTATCAAAGCAAATAACTTATAGTCTGTATTCAGCAAGGAGATGGGTCTATAATTCTTAATTTGTAATAAATCAGCCTCCTCTTTGGGTAGGAGCATAATATATGCCTCTGACCATGATTTGGGTATCCTACTCGCTGACATCATTCATAACTTCCAGTAGTGGAATGTACAACAAATCTTGAAAAGTCTTATAAAATTCTGCAGGCAGCCCATCTGGGCCTGAAGCCTTGCTGTTATTTTGTTTTTTAAGTGTTTTGGTTAATTCCATCATGGTTATTATACTTTCTAATATTGTTTCCATTTCTTTAGGTATCTGGGGAAGGTTGGTTTCTTGTAGGAATTGTTTAACTCCTCCCTCGTCTAAATTCTCTTGTTCATACAGCTTACCATAGTAATCTTGTATAATTTTCTTCTTCTCTACCATTCCATAGCAAATTTGCCCTTGATTATTTTTTAATTGCAATATTTTTTTTATTCTCTTTTTTCAATTTCTACGCCAACCATCTGCCTGTTTTATTAGCATTTTCAAAATAGTTCTGTTTAGCATCTCTAATTTTTATGCTAATTCCTCTTTTTCCAATAAGTCCATTTTGTGCTTATTTATATCCATTTTTATTTTAATATCCTTTTTGTGGAGAAGGGTCTTTACAAGGGTCTTGTAAAATCATTCTCTAAGCATTTAAGAAGTTGTCTTTTCTTTATATTTCTCTTTCTTGTATAGTCTATTATCAGACCTCTAGTGTAAGCCTTCATTGTATCCCAGAGATTCTGCATCGATGTATCTTTCTTTCTATTTTCTTTAAAGAAAAAAAGCCAATTCTTTTTCCATTTTCTGTAGAAAATCTTTCTCTTTTAATATCGTATTATTTAATGTCCATCTAGATCTCTTCCTTTGTCCTTTCAATTTAATTATAATTGGACTGTGATCTGCCCAAGTACTTCTTTCAATTTCAAGTTCCTGTACCTCACAAATCAGTTCCATTGTAGCCCACATCATGTCAATTCTGGAGCATGATAAATGTCTATTTGAATAGAAAGTATATTGTTTTTTGGTAGGATTTCTTTATCTCCAAACATCTTTAAGATTTATTTCATCTCTCATTTAAAAAAAGGCTTTAGGTAGCGGTTTTCTATTTATCTTTGTAGTTTTTTCTGTTTTATAGTCCAGATTTTGATCTACAATTCCATTAAAGTCTCTCATCATGCAAATATCAGTATAGTCCAATTCAATTATTTTCCTATGTACTTTTCTGTAAAATTCATCTTGTTTGTCGTTGGGGGCGTATGTTGCAATTAAAAGTATTTTCTTCGAGTTGTCCATAATTTCCACCATCAAGATTCTTCCCTCATCATCTGTATAAATTTGTTTTGCTGGAATTATATCTTTAACATAAAAGATCCTCCTCTTTGCCAATGCTGTAAATATTTTCCCTAATTTTGGTTGCACCAATAAATGTTAACGCTGTTTTTGAATATGAACTTCTTGTAAACAAATTATATCCAATTTTATTTTTTCTAATTTATGAAATATTTTTCTTCTAATTGCAGAGTTAAGTCCATTTATATTAATTGAGACCATTTTTTCTTCCATATCTATAATTTATAATTAGGATTTATAGCGCTAGTTGATCTCAATTCTTGTTCTCTAATGTCGATACCACCTGTAGCTCCCTCCTCTATTTGAATCCCACCTACTGCACCTTCAAGTTTCTTGATCTCAACTGTACATGCCTCTTGCAAGACTACCAATAGGTTTAAGGTTTAAGGTTTAAGGTTTATTGGGATTTATATGCCGCCCTTTTCCCTGAGGGGACTCAGGGCGGCTTACAACCACAGGGGAGGGGGGGGCAAGGTCAAAAACAAAACAATATGTGCACAAAGAAAAAATGATAAAACACAACTTTCATTCAGCAATCAAACACTCGGGCGGGTAATTGGAAGCCTATCCCCAGGCCTGCTGGGAGAGCCAGATCTTGA